CCCCCCCCCCCCCACCCCCTCCCGGGAAACTATGTTACCATCCAACCACAGAGACTGTATGAATTACACTGTAAATTGAATTAACATTGAATTGTTTTTAGAATGCACTCTTTTTGACTTTGAAAATGGACGACTTGATGGCTGGACCCTGACAGGAACAGCATTCAACAATCAGCCAACCTACGGAGATAATCCTCGAGCTCGAGGACGAAATCCATCGAATGTCAAGGGAGACTGGTTTGTAGGTACATATGATAACAGACCCAGTCCCTCTCATCCAGCAGGCGGGAAACAAGGAAACGGACCTACAGGCACCGCAACCTCGCCACAATTTGTAATCCAAGGAACAAAATTACGATTTCTGATAGGTGGAGGCTCTGATACCAAAAGCGAACGACTCGAGCTGCTGATTGGTGGATCTGTAGTTGACAGCGCCACAAGCAGAAGCAACAGGGACGGCATGGAACAAAGAGAGTTTGATGTGTCATCGTTTAGAGGTCGGGTGGCTCAGTTTCGAATTGTCGACGAATCGTCTTATGATTGGGGTATCATCAACGTTGATCACATCGAGGACAATTATTGCACATTGTAGTTTCCCGATTTCATTTTGACGTCACAGTATGCATACTTTGTGTAAAGATGAAAAAAATAGTGGAAAGTATAACTTCAATGTATCGTATTTTGATATATGTTATATTTCAAAGATTGCTCATGTACATTTTATTTGATATGCAGTCACTCTGATCCTATCTCGTGACCGTAATCCTTAGCGTTATAATTTCCAACATGACGTCATAATAGAACAATTAAAGATATGAATAAAGGTATCTAGCTTGAGTGCATAATGCCATAAATATACATTAATTTAAATCAAGATCTGGCAATTGAAACCTTTTAGTTTCGCGTAAATAATATCCTATATGCACAAAAATAACAATATTTTAAAACCMTAATTAATTTCTAGGAATTAATTTTTAGTAGTATATTAGATAACTATAAGATTGGGTTCCCTGTGATATTGTAGCGTTTGTGTATAAAAGTGATAGCGAAGTAAAAGCTGTTTTTTTTTTCAATACGAGTCTTTTATCTGGTCTAATCCGAGGTAAAACTACTACAGCCAGCTCCGGCATGATTTTGTATTCAGTATCCTATACCACTGCATTCGGATGTTCTTGCAGTGCTTGCGTTGTTATTTGCAGCTATGAAGAACTTTGGATCATTGAATTCTTAGCTGCTGTGTCTATATGGCCGATTGCCAGTAAAGGTCTTAAAAATTTCATAAATGTTGATTCTGTTGTTTTTAAAAGCTGTAAATAGGAATGATAAAAGAGAAATAATCTGTTATTATCTGAGTCGGTTCAAGCTCGCACAAAACCAAAGTGCAATGAATTTCGGCGCGACGTTTATGYAAGTTTTAACACGCTCATTTTACTCATAGAGTTTTATTTTGTAGTTTGGAAGCTCGTTTAGATAACAAGAGAGGGAAAAACATTTTTTCAGCTGCCGGTCATTTAGCATTTTCAAGGCCTTGAACAGTAACCGTCCATATAGACACACMYAACTGGCAAAATACCTTGACATTGAAAGTTTGAATGAAAATAATTAATCTCGATAAGGTTTTCTGCACGCAAGTCATCAATCAAAAAGCAAGAATTTAGGCTAATCACAATTTTATAACATGCATAACCTATGGAATACACTTTTCCGAGATCGGATCTCATTAATATTAATGAAAAAAATGGGACCAAAGTCCGGATAATCGAAAAGTCCGGATAATCGAGGTCCGGATAATCAAGGTTCAACAGTACTTGATTAAATACGACCTAAAAAGGTTAAGGTGAATTTACAGCAAAGATATCGGATTTATTTGTTCTCGCAGGAAGAAGGCAGATATCATATCTTTTCTTTTGCGGTTAATATTTCATTGGTTTATGTTTCCATTGTTTTGTGTATAACTGGCTGAAGAATACAAGTGTATTAATGTTTTATTACAAACCCATTGGCTTTTGTTAGTAATTGCTCTATACAGTTCAGTACTCTCGGATCCAACAGATCCAAGACAAATTTGACTTTAACATGACAAGTAAACCAGTTCTTGTGATTTTGACGTTCTTTTTGGCTTTCACATCTGCACAATCCTTGGAATATCTCAACAAAGAAGGGGATATATATTTTGGGAATTTTAACGAAAGTGCAAATGGAGCGATTTTCTCAAAACTCGAGAGTCTCTTATCTAACCAAACGACTGAAACAATTGAAGAATGTTGGTCGTTGTGCGTACAAAACAAGGAATGCTTGTCAGTGAATACCATTGCTTTGGATCAATCGCAACATCAATGTGAGCTTCTTAACTGGACAGGGACGGGATTTGAGAACCATCTTGTACCAAAAGTCAAATCCAAGTTTATGCAGATGAAGGTTAGTGGTGAAGTTTTGATTCATGGCCATATCCTGTATTTCTTCAGAACTCAGCATGAGCAGAAAGCAACTAACATTTTCATCCATTTTTAGTTCTTCCAGTTTTTAGCAAAATAAAAATTAAAATTGATCATGACTGAACAAAATACTTTTAGATTTGTAGAAGCTTCTTTTATAAAAAAAAATTAACAATAGTCACAAAATTCTCATTGTTTCATACTCACTTTTGATAATTTTAATAAGCAGCTGTTATTTCTGTTATTAATTTTTCAAAAGAGATATGTTTGGCAAAGTTGAGCTCAGATGTGCACACACCAACCTTTAGTTATTAGCGCGAGCTAAAATTAACAAATCGAAATCGCTTTTCTATGGTCTGTACGCTTATCGACAATGAAAATGACGTAAGAAAATGATCAAAACTTGGTAGCGAAACCACTCGCTACGCTCGTTTCACTGCTGGTTTCACTGCCAAGTTTTGATCATTTTCTGGCGTCATTTTCATTGTCGATAAGCGTACACTCCAGACCATACAAAAGTGATTTCGATTTGTTTTTTACCATAACAAAGCCGAAAACAAAGTAAAACTTTCAAAACAAAATCGTTTCTGGCGCGCGCCGGCTCCGTGCGCGAGCGATTCGTAATTTCATCCGTCTGTCCTAGGATTGACAACGGCTGTCGACCAATCAACGCGCGAGAATTCTACTAGTTATGGTAAAATTTTGTTTGACGATTTCAATTAACAGTTTTTCCGTGAGTTTCAAATTCATACTTGCWAGAAGGTATAATCATCACTATCTTCAACCTTAGAGAAGTTTTTTTAAAACTCCTTTTCTTCTTAAAAGAAGTTAAGCTGGATGAGTGTTAGTCTAGATTTATTGGTCACAGATGGGAATGATTGAAAACGAGCAATATTTTTCCTTATTTGCAATAATGTCATGATATAATCACTTTTTCAAAACTACAGACTGTTTGTTCATCGAACCCTTGTCAAAATGGCGGACAATGCATTGCAAAAGATAGAGGGACAAACTACACCTGTACTTGTGCTAATCACACTGGAAGGAACTGTGAAATTAATATGGTATGAATAATGACAATAACCACACTACTTGTTAAGTTCATTTTCCTTATTTTGTCTGTTTTGGTGTTTTAGTGCTCGCCGAACCCTTGTCAAAATGGCGGSCAATGTACCGTGAAAGATGGAGGAACAAACTACACCTGTACTTGTGTTGGTCACACTGGAAGAAATTGTGAGATCAATATGGTAAGATAGTGCTAATATTTTATTGACTAATTCTTTGAATCTTATAGTTTGTAATAAAATTTATAATTTTGACAGTGTTTACCAAGCCCTTGCCGAAATGGCGGACAATGTAATGTGAAAGATGATGGAGCTGACTACAGCTGTACTTGTATTGGCCACACTGGGAGGAATTGTGAGATCAATATGGTATAAACGATGATAATATTTTCTATCATTGATATTGTTTAAATCAAATAAATTCATTAAAATTTGGACAGTGTTCCCCAAACCCTTGTAAAAATGGTGGAAAATGTTCCGTGAAAAACGGAGGAGCTGACTATTCCTGTGCTTGTGTTGGTCACACTGGAAAAAATTGTSAAATCAACATGGTATGATGATCATTATATATTCTATCATTGATAAATTCTTTTATCATATAGTGATACTTTTCTATGAAATACCTATATTTCTCCATTTCGTAAAGCTGTTATTTTCACTGAAAATAACACA